TGAGGCCCTGGGTTCGATTCCTCAGCACCACATAAGCAAAAAAAAAAAAAGAAGAAGAAGAAGAAGAAGAAGCTGGGGACAGTGCCCAGGCCCTGTGTTCAAGCCCCAGGCCTGGCCAAAAAAAAAAAAAAAAAAGAGAAATAGAGAAGGAAGAAGAGAAAGGAGAATGGGATGAGGAGAGTGATGGAGAGAAAAGAGGTTAGTTGGCCTACATTGTTTACGTGTATGGAAATGTCACAATGAAACACACATACCCTTGTACAACCAATATATGTAAATGTAAAAAACAATCGGGGGGGAGGTGGGAAGGTGGCTCAGTGGTAGAGCGCTTGCCTCGCATGCATGAGGCCCTGGGTTTGCTTCCTCAGCACCACATAAGCAGAAAAAGCCGGAAGTGGCGCTGTGGCTCAAGTGGTAGAACGCTAGCCTTGAGCTGAAGAGCTGAGGGACAGCGCCCAGGCCCAGAGTTCAAGCCCCAGAACTGACAAGAAAGAAAGAATCTGGAAGGGGAAGTGGGGAAGAATGAAGGAAGGAGTGACAATGACCAAGAGGCACTGTACTCAGAATCTAACTTATGGAGTTGCAACCCCTTTATACAACTACATCATCATCAAACTGTAACTTAAAATCCGTGGGGATGGTGAGAGGTGGTCTGAGGTGGGCACTTGACCTGTCTTCCGGGTGAGTTGGGGGAGGCTCTGGCTCTCCTCGCTGATCTAGGCCGAGGCCACCATGGCCCACTTCTTCTTGGTCTTCAGTCAACAAGGGAAATGGCCCAGTGCTTTTCCTGACAAGACAGGCAAACAATCACTCAGGAAATCTTTCAGATCAGTCTCTCATGGACACAGGACAAGCAGTTCTTCTACCAGGAAGGAGATAAAACTTGTTTAGAAAAAGTATAGGAATTGCTGGGAGTGGGGGGCTCACACCAGTCATCCTAGCTACTCAGGAGGCTGAGATCTGAGGATTAAGGTTTGAAGCTAGTCTGGGCAGGAAAGTCCGTGAGACTCTTATCTCCAATAGACTACTCAGAGAAAAAGCTGGAAGGAGTGCTGTGGTTCAAGTGGTAGAGTGCCAACCTTGAACAAAAAAGCTCAGGGACAGTGCCCAGGACCAAGTTTGCATTTTGAAGCCAAGCAGCTCATGGCACCAGAGGTGCACACTGTTAGAGGGGGTTGTTGGACAGTTTGCAAGTATCTGCAAGCTGTATACCACCTTTCATTTTGAAAAGGTGTTTTATCATTAATAGGGTTGTAATAAGTGAAGAAACTCAGAAAACATACAAGAAAATGCTGTCAATGCCAGCAAAGAAGCTGATATGTTACAGGAGAACATAAGAGTAATGAATATACCTACATTTATTTTGCCAGTCCTGGGGCTTGAACTCAGGGCCTAGCTTCTTTTGCTCAAGGCTAGAACTGCTACCACCACTTGAGCTACAGCACCACAGTTGGCTTTTTCTGCTTATGTGGTACTGAAGAATTGAACCCAGGGCTTCATGCATGAGGCAAGCACTCTGCCACTAAGCCACCTTCCCAGCCCTACATCTTTTTAGTTTATTTTTTTGTGCCAGTACCTGGAGCCTGAACTCAGGGCCTCAGGATTGAACTCAGGGCCTCAGGCTTGAACTTAGGACTTTGGCTTTTCCAATCAAGGCCAGCAGTCTACCACTTGAGCCATACTGTCTCTACTTGTAGCTTTTTGGTGGTTAATTGGAGATAGACTACCTTTGAACCTTGTTCCTTAGATCTCAGCTTCCTGAGTAGCTAGGATTACAGGCTTGAGCCACCAGTGCCCTGCTTAAACCTGCATTTTAACTGCATACCAGGATAGTCTTGAATTTATAAATAAGCCATGCTTTGTATCTGGTCTGGACAGAGTCTCAGGAACTATGCCCCCCAAAACTTAATAGGATCTTTTGTTAACTGGAAAAATTAAAATTGTAGCATATTTGTACTACATAGTACTTTGTAGGAGAAATGCCTGTGGCTCTGTTCAACTAACTGCTATAAAACTCTGACTGAAGTTGGGTGCCAGTGGCTCACACCTGCAATCCTAGCTACTCAGGAAGCTGAGATCTGAGGATTGCAGTTCAAAGCCAGCCTGGGCAGGAAAGTCTGTGAGACTGTTATCTCCAATTAACCACCAGAAAACCAGAAGTGGCGCTGTGACTGAAGCAGTAGAGCACTAGCCTTGAGCTGAAGAGCTCACAGACAGGGCCCAGGCCCAGAGTTCAAACACCACCACTAACAAAACAAACAAAAAAACATCCAAATAAAATGTGAAAAACCTAGCTGGGTGCCAGTAGCCCATAGCTACTCAGGAGGCTGTGATTTGAGGATCACTGTTCAAAGCCAGCCCAGACAGGAAAGTCCGAGACTCTCATCTCCAATTAACCACCAGGAAACTGGAAGTGGTGCTGTGGCTCAAGTGGTAGAGTGCTCGCCTTCAGCTGAAGAGCTGAGGGACAGCACCAGGCCCAGACAGCACCTACGACTGACCAAAAAAAAAAAAAAGTGAAAAAACTTGAATTTACTGAGATCCTTAGCACCTTGAAAAAGGACCCAAAACAAATCAAATTAAAAAAAAGAACAAGGGGCTGGGAAGGTGGCTCAGTGGTAGAGTGCTTGTCTTGCATGCATGAGGCTCTGGGTTCGATTCCTCAGCACCACATAAGCAAAAAGAAAAAAGCTGGAAGTGGTGGTGTGGCTCAAGTGGTAGAGCGCTAGCCTTGAGCTGAAGAGCTGAGGGACAGTGCTCAGGCCCAGAATTCAGGCCCCACGACCGGACCCAAAAAAAAAAACAAAACATTAAAAAAAAAAAAAGAATGAAAAGGGAAGGAAAAGAAGCAAAGAAAAAAAGTGGAAGAGAAAGGTGAAAAGAAACTTCCTAATGTCACTAAAATCAGTGGCATCTCTGAAGGGGAGATGGACTCCACCTTGTCCTTGGGAAACAACTTTATGGTAGAGAACAGGAAGTTTGTTAGCAAAGCTAAGAAAATCAAAGAGAGAGTGATCGCCCATGACTCACACAGGGTACTAATGCCTCTGATAACAGCTGCAATGACCCTTTGAGCACTGGGAATATTTATGATGAAATAGTAGGTTAGGGTTTGGCTCAAATGCACTAACTGCTACTCTGTGATCTAACAATGGGTATATTTTATAATGTGTGTATGTACGTAATATATTTATTTATCATCCTTATGGTTAGAATGTTTGATCAACTAGACCCATGGAGTTCAAGGTCGTTTTCCTTATTCAAGTTGGATATTACAACATAGACTTCTGAATGTGCCTTTAAACAAAGGATGGATTTTACTCCCTTCAACACATGTCCATCCTTGAAAAAAGCATTTTCCTTTGCTAATTTTTTTTTGGCCCAGAAGAGTCATTTTTTTTTCAAGTTTTCTGTTTTGTTTAATATATCCTTGCTCAGTTCCCAGAGCACACTAATTATTTGAACAAACAGCCAAGGTCAGGGGGAATATGGTTGCTTTTCTTTTTCCTTTTCTTTAGTAAAATCAAATGTTGTGGCGTATTGAAAAAGTGTAAGACTTAATGAGGCCTGGGAAAGCAGTCAGGAATTTAGAGATAAACACTGTGTTAATGAGAAACCCCTGTGCCTCCTCCTCCCATATTGGAGTTTGAATTTAGGGCCTTGAACTCCCTGGTTCTGCTGGCTCCCTTCAATACCACTCTGCTTAGCTCAACTCCCCTTCACCCTGTGCTTATTTTAGACATGAAGCCTTCTGGACTTCTCTGTCTCTGCATATTTAGGATTACAAACAGAAGCCATAGGCTCCCAGCTGCCCGTGTGCTTTTAACCTGGTTATTATTCCTTAATACAGTGTTTGCCTCATTTCCTGATTTATCTGCCCATTAGTTGGTGGGAATCTGCTTTGTTCTCATAATTTCATGTTGATCCTAGGGCCCACTGACTGCCCTCCCATGGAGACCCCTCCTGTTCTCAGGAAAACCTCAGCCCTGACCTTATCTGGAAGCGCAGGACTGTTGGTGTCAGGAAGATACCCCACTATAAAACCCCAAACAGGGGCTGGGAAGGTGGCTCAGTGGTAGAGCGCTTGCCTTGCATGCCTGAGGCCCTGGGTTCGATTCCCCAGAACCACATAAGCAAAAAGAAAAAAGAAAGCTGGAAGTGCTGCTGTGGCTCAAGTAGTAGAGTGCTAGCCTTGAGCTGAAGAGCTGAGGGACAGCGCCCAGGCCCAGAGTTCAGGCCCCATGACCGGACCCCCCCCCCAAAAAAAAAAAACCCAAACAGGACAGTTTGCACAGTAAGTCTCCAACAGGACAGGCAAAGAAATTGCAAAGATCTCACCCTTGATTTTGTATAAACCTACAAGCCCCCACACACCCCGTTATCTCCCCAACCCTACTCGATGTTACACTGAGTCTCTCTGCAGCCATGATTAAAGCCTGTTCTGGTCTGCTGAGATCTCTGCCTTCTTTCCCTCCTTTTGTGAAATTGATCTTTTCTAACCCTCTTGACTCAGCCCAACACTAGGATAACAGGTACTTGGAAGCTGCTTTTGCTAAAACACACTGACCCTGAACTTAGGCTAACTAACTAAAAACAGGAGAAAAGCCTCCATTTCTGCCTTCATTCCATCTTCCCCATTATCCTGTATCTCACTCCTCCTCAATTACCTGCAAATATTAGGTTTGGGCAAGGAAAGACTGATCAATAACATCTTTATTACCAAAACTACCCCCTCCCAAGGAAAGGTATACTAGAACCTCACCCCACGCCCCCTCTCATCCCTACTCCAAAATGAGGACAACTACCTACAGTGATGTTGCAGCACCCTGGAGCAGGAGAAACATCTCATGGGAACCAGATTGTTCCCATAAAGTAATGACAGTAATAACACAGGTAATGGCCTGCCAGGCCACACCTGTAACTGGGACTCCTTATGCATACCTTTCACCCCGTTTCTATTTCTTCCTCTACCTAAACTTAACACGTATGTGTGTGGTGTGTGCGTGCCTGTGCTATGTATATGTCCATCCTGGGGTTTGAACTCAGGACGGTGGAGCTGTCCCTGAGCTCTTTTTGCTCAAGGCTAGCACTCTACCACTTGAGCTTCAGCCCCAGTTCCTACCTTTTGGTGGTTAATTGGAACGAAGAATCGCACAGATTTTCTTACCCAAGCTTGATTGGAACCACAGTCCTCAGATCTCAGCCTCCTTGAGTAGCTCAGATTACAAGTGTGAGCCACCAGCCCCGGGGCTAAACCTAACACCCCTTATGTCTGCTACCCTGCTACCGAAGATGGGTCTGAAGTACTTTTTTGCTCAAGCTCACAGATCTCCTTTCTCCACCCTCAGCGCCTGGTGGCTGGACCTGACAGGTGAACGCCTGAGTTAGGCCGCTGGCCTGGAACTCTGGCTCCACCCTGGGAGGAACCTGGGACGGCTGGGGTGGGGGCCTGGGGATGGAGAGGTCCCCCCGACCTCCAGGTGTGGCCCTCCAGATCGCTTGTGCACACACAGAGACTAAATCTTAAATTCTGGGCTTGTGGAGGCCTCGGGGTCATTTTACCACCAGGCCCAGGAGCCGGCCAGGTGAGCCACGGTCACACGCTCTCGGGCTGCAAGAACGCCCGCGGTGCCCTCGGCTCGAAGGCCGGCGGCGCCCCCTTCCGGCCACTCGCAGCCCGCGCCGGTGCCACCTCGATAGCGGTCCCCCCCAGATCCCTTCCGGAGTCCCCACTTCTCATTTCCACCTCCCGGGATGCCGGTGAGAGCCCGGGACCATCCCGTGCGCCTGCGCTGTCGCCGGCCCGAGCCCGCTCGCTAGCGCGGTAGCCCTTTCCCCGTGCGGGCGGACGGCTCCGCGC